TGACACGCTATTTCATTCTTGTTTTGTTTTTTTTTTTTTTCTGCCGACGCTAATCGATATTGGGCGGAGTTAATCGCCGCTGACGAATCAATGTGGAACGCTTGACGCGTCGAATTTGCTCCAATATAAGGCAGCCATCGGAGTCACATCTCCGGTAAAACCAGTAGCGTGCGTTCTTCATTTCTGAAGGTCTGTTTCTTATTATTACTAGTTTTTGCTACTCTCCTGATAGTGGTTTGTTTCCATCCATATATTCTTCCGGTACACTTATAGTTTCATTGTTTTATAGCTTTTAATTTCCAAGTATTTCTTGTTGTCAATTGTGATTTCAATAATTAGAATTGTTTTTGTATACAGTTTTGGCGTGAAATATGCGTATTTTTTATTTTAGCTTTTGGTTATTAAACCTGATTGGTTGTTAAACCATGCAAATCTTTGTCAAAACTCTTACTGGCAAAACAATCACTTTGGAAGTCGAAGCTTCCGACACAATTGAGAATGTGAAAGCAAAAATTCAGGATAAGGAAGGAATTCCACCCGATCAACAGCGTCTTATTTTTGCAGGTATAACATGTCTTTTGGAGCATTTATTTGTGCTTTTTTTACTCAGCCTTTTCTTTTTCCTTTTTTTTTTTCGGTGTATCTTTTGGTTTACTTTTCAGACACCCACTCAAATGTTGGCGGGCTACAAAATTTACTGCATTTCCTGTTTCCCTAGTTTTGTGTTTCGCGTGTGCGTTTGTTTTTTTTTTTTTACAATCAGTTGTGCTACAGTCGTTTTGGAATTTTAGGAAAGCAGCTCGAAGACGGTCGTACCTTGTCTGATTATAATATCCAGAAAGAGTCTACACTGCATCTTGTGCTTCGACTGCGTGGCGGAATGCAAATTTTCGTCAAAACCCTTACGGGTAAAACCATCACGCTTGAGGTTGAAGCGTCCGACACCATCGAAAACGTGAAAGCAAAAATTCAGGATAAGGAAGGGATCCCGCCCGACCAGCAGCGTCTTATTTTTGCAGGTAACGATGAATACTGAAATTTGTAGTTCGTTTGCGACCTAGTTTCTTGCCCTTATTCTAGCATAAATTCACTTTTTAAGGGAAACAGCTTGAGGATGGCCGCACATTGTCCGATTATAACATTCAGAAAGAGTCAACGCTTCACTTAGTGCTTCGATTGCGTGGCGGAATGCAGATCTTTGTTAAGACCCTTACTGGAAAAACAATTACTCTTGAAGTAGAGGCTTCAGACACAATTGAGAATGTCAAAGCCAAAATCCAGGACAAAGAGGGAATTCCTCCAGATCAACAACGATTAATTTTTGCTGGTAAGAAGGCGTTTCATTTTTGGCTATTTATTGGTTTGTTATGGACGGCAGTTATGAAGTGGGTTTCAGGGAAGCAGCTTGAGGATGGAAGGACATTGTCAGATTACAACATTCAGAAAGAATCAACATTACATCTTGTCCTCCGGCTGCGTGGTGGAATGCAGATTTTTGTGAAAACGCTTACTGGCAAAACCATAACTCTTGAAGTTGAGGCGTCTGACACGATTGAAAATGTCAAAGCAAAAATTCAGGACAAAGAAGGGATTCCTCCGGATCAACAGCGTTTGATTTTTGCTGGTAAGTTAGTGTCCTGTTTACTACCATGTTTTGAGTGGGCATGGGTATTACTTACGGAATGGATTTTAGGGAAGCAGCTTGAGGATGGAAGGACATTGTCAGATTACAACATTCAGAAAGAATCGACGTTACATCTTGTCCTCCGGTTACGTGGTGGGATGCAGATTTTCGTTAAAACTCTTACCGGGAAAACTATAACGCTCGAAGTTGAGGCGTCTGATACGATTGAGAATGTTAAAGCGAAGATTCAGGACAAGGAAGGGATTCCTCCGGATCAACAACGTTTAATTTTCGCTGGTAAGTTGAGGGTGCTGTCACTGATGTTGCGGAGAGGGATGTTACTCAATAACACCATTATTATAGATAGTACACTGATTTTTCCAGGTAAACAGTTAGAGGATGGTAGGACTCTCTCAGACTACAACATCCAGAAAGAATCTACGCTACATTTGGTACTCCGTCTCCGAGGTGGCATGCAAATTTTCGTTAAGACCCTTACTGGGAAAACGATAACGCTTGAAGTTGAGGCTTCGGACACCATTGAAAATGTGAAAGCGAAGATTCAAGACAAAGAGGGAATACCGCCGGATCAACAGCGTTTAATTTTCGCTGGTAAGCTTCTTGTTCAACACATTCGATGTTATCGTTTGGCTTCTAGGTTGCACGTAATTCCTTGTTTGCAGGGAAGCAGCTCGAGGATGGTCGAACGCTTTCTGATTACAACATCCAAAAGGAGTCCACCCTTCATCTTGTGCTTCGGTTGCGTGGTGGTATGCAGATTTTCGTGAAGACTCTGACAGGGAAAACAATTACTTTGGAAGTTGAGGCCTCAGATACTATCGAGAATGTTAAGGCAAAAATCCAGGACAAGGAGGGGATCCCGCCCGACCAGCAGCGTCTTATTTTTGCTGGTACGTTCATCGTAAGGTTTTCGTACCTTTTAGAAGTTGATATTGACACTTCTTTTTTAGGCAAACAGCTTGAAGACGGCCGCACACTGTCAGATTACAATATTCAGAAGGAGTCGACCCTTCATTTGGTCCTTCGTCTTCGTGGCGGCTATTGATTGCTTTTTGAATCTTGGGGGTGGATGGTGCTTCCTCGAGGCAGTGCCAATTTGTTGTCCGCAGTTTTATAATCTCAGTTTTTTTGATGAATATGATGGACATTCCACCCGTATATTTTATTACATTGTTGCATTTTTGCCGTGCTTCATCGCTGAATAAACGATGCAGGCAGATTTGTGTTTTAGGAGCACACTGCAAGAAAAAATTTAGAGGTCCTGATTCTGAAGGTTTCCCTTTATGTTAGGCAGGTTGGATGAGTTGAGGTTCCTTGAGTTCATCGGAATGATTTGTGGTTGGGTGTTGGGGTGTTCTGCCTCGTTAGTGGGTGGGGAGCACTGTTTGTGCAGTTTGTTGAGGCAGGCTGAACATAATTTTCATGTCAAGCTACCTGTTGTGAAGTCATTTTTCACCAGTGTCTGCTTCATCTCAAGCGCCGTATTTAGTAGAGAAATTGAACGACGCTTCTCCAGCGCACCTCAGGGCTTTTTTAAAGTGGGGTCAAACATTGGTCTGTCCCAATGTCAAGCCTGTTTCATTAGACACCCCTGGTTTTGCTCTCTCCAGTCGCATTTCTGGCACTTATTCTTAGAAGGAACAATTTGAAGCTTGCAATAGACCACGAAATTAGAAAGGGAATTGAGCGAAACGTCTGCCGCACTAGGTCCTACTAACTACCGGTGGTCTAATGTGAATCCCA